TCAGCACCTGGCACAGGAGGGCAACTTGTGAATATTTCCTAAATGAAGAAATCAATAGTGAAATGTATATTGTTTTCCCTATCCGGGACATTGACTTTAACAATGAAAAATACCTTTAGAAATGTACAGCCACATGAAAATAAAATATACAGAAGGGAAAATACACTTAGCTAAGAAGCCTCATGGAACAAAGAAATGCATAGGAAACAAGCAACAATGCCTCTTCTGTTGAGTTACCAAAGATGGAAGGAGTGATAATACTCAATGCTCCCAAGTAGGTGGTGAGAGGGGCACCCGCACACTCACACACTGCTGGAGGCGGTGGACATTGGTACAACCTTTTTGGAAAGCAATTTGGCAATACGAGTCAGGATTCTTGCAAAACCCTTATGACCCCCTAAGTGTTTTACTAAAAATCTACCCTTAGAAAATAATTACACATAGGTAAGACTTAGGTGCAAAGATGTCCTCTGTAGCATATTCAATAAATAAAATGGCCTACTAAATGTCCCAAAGTAGAAATTGCAATTAAAACAATAGTGCTAGTGCCACAGGTATAGTTCTAGGTAGCCAATAATGGTGACATTTTTAAGGCATTTTTAATAGGCCAGACATTGCTCAAGATACAATCTTAAGAGAGACTGGCTGGATGTGGTGGCTCACGCCTGTAGTCCCAGCACTTTGGGAAGCCAAGGTGGGTGGATTACGAGGTGAAGACTTTAAGACCAGCCTGGCCAACATGGGTAAGCCCCATCTCTACTAAAAATACAAAAATTAGACAGGCATGGTGGCGGGCACCTGTAATCCAAGCTACTTGGGAGACTGAGGCAGAGAATTGCTTGAACCTAGGAGGCAGAGGTTGCAGTGAGCTGAGATGGCACCACTGCACTCCAGCCTGGGTGACAGAGTAAGACTCCATCTTAGAAAAAAAAAAGAGAGACCAGAGTCTGGGAAGGATAGTAAGGGGGTGGGGAGAGGTGGGGACAGTTAACAGGTAAAAAAATAGAATGAATAAGACCTACTATTTGATAACATAATAGGGTGACTATAGTCAATAATAACTGTACATTTTAAAATAACTTAAAGAGTGTAGTTGAATTGCTCGTAACTCGAAGGATAAGTGCTTGAGGGGATGGATACCCCCTTCCCCATGATGTGGCTATTTCACATTGCAAGCCTCTATCAAAACATCTCATGTACCCCATAAATATATACACCCACTATGTACCCACAACAATTTAAAAAAGTAAAATATATATATATATATACACACAAGAGAGAAAACATCCCCAGCATGGAAAGGGGATGGAGAACAGCCTGTGACCTGAGGTCAAATCCCAGCACGACCAGTCACAGCTGAGACTTTAATCCCCCCATGCTGTACTTTTTTCATGAGATATTGGTACCTAGCTCATAGCATGAATGTGAGGCTCCAATAAGACAATATGTGGACAAAAACTGCTTAGCCCATTTCTTGAAGCAGACTCTTAATACTCTTTTCTATTAGTAATAGGCACCGAAGTAATCTTTTACTGTTGACAAAATCAAAAAAAGAGATCAGGTTTGGGTGCTAGTAAGTCCTAGGCAGAATAGAGACAGGAAATGTGCTTGGATGAGTCTATGCTCAGAAACTGCCAATAGTCCAGATTCTCTGAGTTCACTATTTCCCTAAGGTAGCTGAGTCACCAGCCTCCCCTTCTTTCTTTCCTTTTTTTCTCTCCCTTCCTCCTTTACCTCTTCTCTTCCCTTCTCTCTTCCTTCCCTTCAAATATGAACATTAACTGAGCACCAATTCTGTGCTGGGCTTTGCGCCGGCCACCAGTATTACAGAAACCAGTAAGACACAGTCACTGCTTTCAAAGACCCTCCTCACTAGGCCACAGGGGAGCTAGGCCCTGGGCAGAGGATCACAGCCTGGCATGGCACAGGCTGTGCCTGGGACCCCTGCCAGATCCCATGGGAACAAATACATGTTTAACCCTCAAGTGAGAAATATGACTGGATGCATCCATCCACTCATTCATCAGGGAGGTGGCAAAGGACCAGAGGGGAGAAGGTGATATGGGGAATAATTTCTCCAGATGTAAGCATCCAGATATCAGCCCCAAAGCCTGCAGAGGGTACCAGGAGATGTGGGAAAAAAGATGGAAGTCTGTGGGCAAAATTTGGAGGATAGATATAACCTGAACGGGTTGTTGGAAAACAAAGGTTCCATACAAAATTTTTGAGGCATTTGATATAAGCCCAGCACAGGGCCATAAATCTGTTTGATGAGATGCATCTAAAAATGCTGTGCTAAAAGCTGTGTGAGACTGGGCATGGTGGCTCATGCCTGTAATGCCAGTACTTTGGGAGGCCGAGGCAGGCAGATCACCTGAGGTTGGGAGTTCGAAACCAGCCTTACCAACATGGAGCAACCCCGTCTCTATTAAAAATACAAAATTAGCCAGATGTGGTGGCACACGCCTGTAATCCCAGCTACTCAGGAGGCTGAGGCAGGAGAATTGCTTGAACCCAGGAGGCAGAGGTTGCGGTAAGCCTCCAGCCTGGGCAACAAGAGTGAAACTCCATCAAAAAAAAAAAAAAAAAAGCTGTGTGATACATTAGCATTTGGTGAATATAGTGGGTAGGAGGGATTTGAGGCAGGGGAGTATCTCTAGACTTAACCCTCCAGGGGCTAAGGGGTTGCAGGTGCAGCAGAGACACTTAGACTTGATGTAGAATGGGGGTCTGGCTTTCCTTGGAGTAATGCATCTGCTGCTTATAGGGTGTCCAGTGCCTGCTCCACCACTTCCAGGAGTGTGACCTTGGGCAAGTTATGTGACCTGGCTGAGATCAGGTGTAACATGCAGAATGGGAATGGCCACAGCCACTCCATAGGGAGTTGGAAGAACTGATTGAGCATCTGGAGGTCAAGTGGAGTGGGGGCATTACAGCATGGAGAAGCAGCCTGGATAGAGTGCAGGGTGAGAGCATGGTTGTGTCCTTGGAGCCACTAATAATTCCTAGTGGCGGCGTGTGACTCCGGGCTGCAGTGGATATGCCAGTTCATAGGATGTCATTTCATGGTTCTCTGCAGAATTATCTGCACAATTATCTGCACAAATATTTGTGTCCTTGGAGCCACAAATAATTCATCTGCTGCTCCTGCAGCAGATGAAGCCCGGTGGCTCATGATTTCAAATATGCATTCAGCTAGCTTATCCTGTGTGTGCGTGTGTGTGTGTGTGCATGCACATATGCACATGGGTGTATTTCAGGGGGATAATCCCAGAAATTGATTTACCTATGCTTGTCATCAGGCACAGCCCTGTTGATATTTTCTTCACAGTTAATCCAGGTCTTTGGAGGTTCCCTTTTGATTCATTTTAACATTTTAGATTGTCACTGATGAAGAGTGGAAATGTCAACATAATTCAGAGAAAGATCAGCAACAGAAACATACATACAGACACCCATGAGCTCACTCCCCTGCCACGTTTTTTATGTTTCGATAAGCCCTCCTAGCCCTGGTCCAGGGTGCTGGTGGTGGCACGTGACTCCGGGCTGCAGCGGACATACCAGTTCATAAGATGTTATTTCATGATTCTCTGCAGTCTTCCCTCTGGTCATTGTAAATACTGGCATCAGTTTGGTACTTTACAAAGGGTAAATGAGTTTGCTCCTGACGTACTCCCTTGCCACCATCTTAATATTTTTCTGTTTATTAGAATCTTTTAAAAACTAATCACCAATTATTTGAAGCAGAATAACCCTTATGAGGATGGTTTGCCCAACTGCCTTTGTGATAACTTCCTTACCATTGCAAACACTGAGGTTCAGGAATCCTTTGAAGAATTCTTCATTAGTTCTTGCCTTCATAGGTACTTACTGACCATGTGTAAATGCTCTAATCTTCCATGCCCAGTGAAGTTGGCCTGGCTTCAGCCTCTAGGGATCAAGCCGTCCAAAGGGCTGACAATGAAGCAAATGGAGAATTAGAGTCACAGTCCCCTGCTGAGGAGCTCAGGGTTCACTTGCAGGCAGCTGAGCAGTGACCCCCTCAATCCATAGGGAAGTGAGGGGTCTGGGAAAAATTTTCCAGAAGGGGAGCATCCGAGCTGAGCATTGCCAGAGGCTCCCAGGGTAGGTGTGAGGATTTTAGTAGAGGGAAGCCCTCCCACAGGGGCAAAGGGAGGTGTGGTGCACCTGGAACCTGCAGGAAATGGCTAGAAAGTTCATGGCTACCAAGTGCGGCATGAGGGACTGAGGCAAGGTGAGAGGCCAGGCTGGACAGGGGTGGGTGGAACATGGCAGGCCCCTGTGCCGTATTCAGATGAGGACAGTGATACTGAACGATTTTAGGTGGTGTATTAGTCCATTTTCACGCTGCTAGAAAGAACTGCCCAAGACTGGTTAATTTATAAAGGAAAGAGGTTTCATTGACTCATTGTTCTGCATGGCTAGGGAGGCCCCAGGAAACTTACAGTTATGGAGGAAGGGGCAGCAGGTGCTTCTTACGTGGTGGCAGGCAGGGGAGCGAATATGTGAGAGAGCAGAAAAAACTACCATTTATAAAACCAGCAAATCTCCTGAGAACTCACTCAATATCACAAGAACAGCATGGGGGAAACTGCCCCCATGATCCAGTCACCTCCTATCATGTCCCTCCCTCGACACGTGGGGATTTCACAGAGGGAGACATGGGTGGCAACACAGAGCCAAGCCATACCAGGCAGGATGTGGTGTGGAGTCCTCAGGCACAAGGCCCTCTCCTACTCCCTTCCGCAAGCCCATCTGCTAATTGGATGGCTGGGGGGACCCAGGCATACATCCCTGAAGGGAGGTCACACTTGGCTGTGCTCTGGAAGGTTACACATTGGCTGCCTGGAGTTGAATCCGGGAGGGAAGATGGGTTGGAAGGCTGGGCGTGGGGGAATCCCCCTGGGCGGGGCCCAGAGTTTGCCTCTCGCAGACTTTTAGCTTGAGAGCCTCCTCTAAGGGTGTCTTTCTCCACACAGGCCATGCTGCAGTAGACCCTCACAGCGTCTCTTCCTGGCCAAGAGAAGCCTGTCCCCAAGAACAGGAGAGCCATGGTCGGCCTCCGAGGGAACGCTGTGGCTGGCCTCCTCTGGATGCTGCTGCTGTGGAGTGGGGGCGGCGGCTGCCAGGCTCAGCGGGCAGGTGGGGCCACCATGGGCTGTGCCATGCTGTGCTGGGGACAGAGCAGACAGCATGTGTCTGTGAGCATGGGCTGTGGCGTGTGCATGCAAGTGAGCCCACAACTGACTGTGAGAGAGAGGGAGAGTCTGGAATCCAAGTGTGAGTCAGCTGCCCTCCAACCTAGGGACAGAAAATCACCAGCTGCTCAGCAAGGGCCTGTGTGTGTCAGAGTGTGTGTCTGAGTGTGTGAGGGTGTGAGGGTGAGTGTGTGAGGGAGTGTGAAGGAATGTGGGGGAGTGTGTGTGGGACTTTGAAGTGTGTGAGGGAGAGAGAGAATGTGTGTGAGTTTGAGGAAGAGTGTGGGGGAGTGTGAGGGAGTGTGTGTGAGTTTGACAAAGTGTGTGGGAGTGTGTGGGAGTGTGAGCTTGAGGGAGTGTGTGAGGGAGTGTGAGAGTGTGTGAGTTTGAGGGAGTGTTTGAGGGAGTGTGAGGAAGTGTAGGAGTGTGTGTTTGATGAAGTGTGTGGGGAGTTTGAGGGAGTGTGTATGAGTCTGAAGTGTGGGGGAGTGTGAGGGAGTTTGAGGAAGTGTGTGAGGGAGTGTGAGAGTGTGTGTGTGAGTTTGAGGGAGTGTGTGGGGGAGTGTGTGTGAGTTTGAGGGAGTGTGTGAGGGAGTGTGAGAGTGTGTGAGTTTGAGGGAGTGT